GAGGCGGGGGGAAAAAAGGCAAGAGAGCATTGAAAAATGCTAAATATGGAATGCTGAAATAACACGTGGGTGTTTTGTAATCTCAGGGCTCAGATAACTTTCCTGAATATATTCAGACTATCACTTGTAAACACAGGTAAGTGCAGTTTATGTAAAGAATAGGAGAAAGTCAAAAAGGGAAATGCTGAAGTAATAAATAGTTGAAAATTGATAAAAGTTGTTACCTGAAAGTGACAAAAGATGTGATCCAAGCTTTTAAGAAATTATGTGGTGTAACACAGCATGTTGATTTTAGCTTTAGCTTTTCTGGGTTGCTGTATTGTCATAGTGAATATGGAAATACATGACATTCATTCACTTTTTAATATTATGACGTGTTTCCACATAATTGCCAGCTGATGGTCTTTTGGTTAAGACACGTGTGAAGCGAAGTTTGTAGTACAGAGTTCCTGGTTGGTGGTGCGTTTTTTTATGTTTGATTTGGGGTTTTTTGTGTATTTCATTTTATTGGGGTTTTGTGTGTGTGTTGTTTTTTTTTTTAAACTCATGCTTTTCTTGTCGTGTGTTTCATTCATTCCATTGAAGGACATATACCAAGAATATAGGCAAAATTTAAACTTTGTTTTCTGTTGTTTTTCATTGAATACTTGGGAGTAAGATTTGGAGGCTCATCTGTTGTTCTTGCTCAGATTTTAGCACCAGCAAATCATTTGCTGGATTGCTCGTTTTCTGATTGGAGGAGACCTTGTAGGATAATAAGGGATGATGCTTGTATGGTGAGAGGAGAGGTAATTTTCTCCTTTGATACTGCCTTTGCAGAAGTGAAAATATGTTGAACATGGGGAATACTCCCAATGATATCTGTTCTTGAAAGACTACACTGTTTATTGACCAAAATATTCTAATGCTGCCTTTGAAAGAACATTTTCTTCCCTTAGCAAATGCACCCTGTTGTGAGTACATATAAATTCTACATGTCCCTAAAGTGGTGGTTTCAAAAATTCAATCTGAAGCCAAAGTGCTGGTATTGGCAATTTGCTTTGTGCAGTTGTGCATCCTTCTTTCCTTTCTCTAGTGCTCTGTGGCTTTTGGTCTCACACAGTTGTAGTGGTGGTGCCCTCTGTCTTTACTGGAATTTGATTCAGAACCACTACCATGTTTTTGATTAAAAATTTATTAAATTAATATTGTGCTGATATTTGTGTACTATTGTAATTGCAGGAAAATTAGAATTGTGAAATACTTTCAGATCTTTTCCTGAAGAATGCTGCCATCAGTTTTGTTGAAGTTAGGTTACTTATTTACAGTTTCTTGTAATATCCTTAAAAACAGAGGAACTCCACTCTCAGCAGTAGCTGGCCCAACCTTGGTATTTGTATTTTGTCACTGGGACACAGGAGGGGTTCATAGCAGACTGGGGGCTTTCTGCCTCTGTAAATAGTCTCTACGTTGTTCTTGGCATTTTTGAGGGTGCTTGTGAGATCTGAAGAGTGTCAGGGTGATAAGGGAATTGAAAGCTGAAGTTCCCAGTCCAGTTTGGGCTAAATTAAAATGACTGTTTGAGACATAACAGAGCTTTTCTGCTTTATTGTTCCTAGTTTAGCATGGGGTTCTGCTGCAAGCTCATGCACATAAAGTCAGGCCCAAGGCAAACCTATCTCAACATAACTGTTCAGAAAAAGTAGGGGGGATGTTGATAGGCCAGTAAATGGTTCTCTGAAATAAAGGTGTGTTTGAGAAGTCAAGCTTCACAAGCGGGGAAGGGGAAAAACATTTGAGGCTTTGCTCTGTAAATCCTGTAATGTATTTGTTACTTGACTTTCTTCCCCTGCAATATCTTGCACAGGTGACTAGCAAGTATTGTCACTGATCACACTGCGAGAAGATGGGAGCTAATAGAAATTACTGCAGCCAGCAACAGTTAGTTTGATATGTCAGATACCCAATTATTTAAATAAAGTGCACTGTTCTTGAATTTAGCAGTCTAGACTGCCTTCCCATGTAATTATTTTAGAACTCTAAAACCACACATAGTATTCGGAAGAATGTTTTTAGTGTGCTGCCTGTGGGCAGCGTGCACAGCCTTATATTCTTAGCTATATGTCAGCTTTACCTGTGGCTTCTTTACAAGCATTTAAAATAAGTTTTCTGAGAAAGCTAGCACACAGAGGTTGCAGCTGACTTGAGATACAGATAGCAAATATATCTCTAGTTGCAATCATCAAGGTACTGGAAATTGTATTTTGGTAAGGTTGGTGAATAGTGCTGTAATATCTCAAACATTTCCAAACTTAGAATTTGCCTTCATGGTTCTACCAAATTCTCTGAGTAATTAAAATACATTTATAAACTATTTTTCTTCTGTATTTACTTTCTCCTTCTTATTGAAAATCCCTAGGACCTGGTTCCAGCAGGAGTATGCTTGAATAGAGGATTAAAGAAATTCATCTGATCTGGACGGTAATTGATATGCAGAAAGAAGTAATACAAGTTGTGTTTTGTTGGTTTGGTTTGTTTTTTTAAATACAAGTAGTCTGTGACAGCCAGAAGTACCTTGTAATACATTAATGTGCTTTGGAATTTGACAGATTAGAAGAAAGTACTCTCACATATGCAAACACATATATATGAAGGATTGTGGCTGTCTTATGAAAAATTTCCTTAAGGTGACTATCATGCTAGTCTACATAATATATTCCAGGCTGTCTTTCATTTATAGTCTGGTAGGTGTTTTCTTTAATCTTTGAGGACTTAGTCACAGTTGTCAAAATAATGAGCTTTTTGTGGTGTAATTTTTTGTTGTTCATGTATCCTGCCCTCAAGATTAAGTAATTGTTACCAGAAGAAACAGGGGTTATTTTCCCTTAAGTTTACACTGAAATATGGTTTTCAATCTTAAAACCTGACAGGGTATATATAGTTTTGTTAGGGAGCTCCTGCAGTGCCTGCTTTGAAGGATTACCTGTGAGGCCAGGTTCAAACAAGAGGACCCAAAGGGTGCATGCAGACCTGCAGCGCTTATATGGATGTTAATTTCATACTCAAGTCCTGGTTGGATTAAAGGGTTTAATTATGTCATAGCTTTTGGCAAGCTCTGAGTAGTTACTCATGTGTGTAGCATGACTACAGGTGGTGTCCAGACAGGCAGCCGGTGGCGGCGTGATCAAAAGAGAAGAATCAGCCCCTACTTGCAAACCACCCTTTTCACCTGGGCCCAGCCTCCATTGCACTCAGGCCCGTGTCTGTAGCTTCCCTGCCAGAAACAGCCGTGGTTAGTGGCCCCTTCCCGAGGGGCAGGCTAAGGAGCAATACAAGGCTCTTATAAGCGAAGTTCTTGAGCTGAGATGCTGCGGCTTTAAAGTCCTTGTGGCTCATCTGCTTCTCCCACCTGGCTGAGTGGCCTCTGACCTGTAACTCAGAAACCTGGGGCCACCTGTGGAGATGTGGAAATCTCTATGGCAGGCTGTTTAGAGAGCTATCTTGAGTGTCAGCTAATTCTGCTGCAAGGGTTTTTGTGAGCAGTTTGTAGCTATTTAGATACAAGTGCTTCGTTATAATGAAAGTGCTCTTACAAGCCCTGTAAGTTGTGTAAGGTGTAAGTTAGTTCATGGAGAACTTCATAACTGGTTGGATGATTCACAGTTTGCCTGCTCTTTTTTCTCCAGCAGAATGAAAGGTAGGCTGTTCTTTTTAACAGCAAAACCAAGTAACTTATATCCTGCTAGTGCTCATGAAAAATACACAGCAGATAATAGCACAGATGGGCTACAGATTTCCATGGGGTATCTTGTCAAAAAAAACTCATGGGGAGAGTCAGACTAGATTGCCCTCTCTAACATAAAAAATCCAAAAGATTTTGAAAATACGTTTTTGTAAGCAAAAAGTGGGTTTGATGTACCATTTGGTACCTGCTACCATACTGTCAGCCACAAAACATGCACTGATGAAGGACAGGGCAGATACTGTGCCTTTGAAAAGACCCTGTGTAGGCTCTCCCTTTCCTTAGAGACCTACAGTATTGAGTTGTTTCTTGTCATTTTGTGTGGCCTGTTTCTTTTGGGACCTTCTGCCTTGTGAGCCATTCATTATAATCTTCTGGATCAAGAATTAAGCCTTCAGATGTGCAATGGAGATTCTTTTTTTTATGTGCACCCTCTTCCCATTTGGATCTGTGGGAACCATCTTACTGTTGACTTCAGTGAGATCCAGATCAGATCCGTGGTGACTCATATTTATAAGACACTATCCCTTCAGGTAGCACACACCCTTTAAAAAGCAGTTGGGTGAACAGGAAGTATATATGCTAAATAAGCTGATGTTAACAGTATTTCAAGTCTTCATATTTAGAAGTATGTTACTTAGGACAGTGTTGGGATAAACACATCAATTGCCCTGTTGTGACTGCTCTGGAGTGGCCCACTGTTCTCCTTTGATTACACCAAAATAAATACGAACATGTGAGGTTTCGTTGTAAATATCCAGGTATTCTTGTTCTAGGCTTGTGCATAATGCAGTCGTTCAGTAATGCAGGAAGGTGTTGGAACTGCTTTACATGGATTTAATAAAGGTAATAGTTTGTGGGGCTGGCTGGTGTCTAGCCTTTCTGAGCTTTATTTGTACATCCCATACCAGCATGAGAGGGGTCCCAGACCCTTACCAGGATCAATAATTGCTACTGCAATGCAAATGCTAAATAATTTTGTACTGAGTAGTTAGTTACCAGCCAACTTGGGGTAGAGGAAACTGAGTTTGAAAAAGGCTGGTGGTGCATGCTTTTTATCAGGACTCCTTAATAGTTGTTTTGTATTAAGTGCAGTGTTGGAATTTTGGCTCATTGGATGCACATCGTCTGTTCTGGTTTCTGTAAGAAACAGTCTGCCTGCTAATCTAGAAAATAAAAGCCAAACTTTTGGGGGAGGATTTATTATAATTCCCATATCAAAACTTGTCCTTCGGGTTTGTGGTAATGATGTCAAACCCAGTTTCTTATCTCTTTACAGAAGGACGTGTTTCTGACATCTCCCCATATCCAGGGGTGTGCAGGAGGCTCCAGGGAGCAGTAGGTATGTACAGTGCTACTATGGGTACCCCACTCCCCCTGAAGCAAGGGGGCTGTGGTACAGATGTCTTTGTTAGTAAAACAAATACACTCCAAGGACACTAGGTTCTTAGTTCATACAGAAAAATATAAATAAGGTTTTAATTATATATTCAATCTATTACTTTACTTCAAGACCAAAATACTTCTCAAGAACCTTATCAGAAAAGCAAATTTTTTCACTTGGGAAGATACTGTATGTTTACTTGTGCTTCAGTTACCACTAAAAGGTCCTGTTCAGGGTTGCTGCTCTCCTGTGTTATGCACTTTATGTGTGTGAGGGGTTACTGGGTTTGCTTTCAGAGACATTTGAATCTTTGAAAGTGTCAGGAGACACTTAGGATAGTTTTTTTTTAAAAGCACATGTGCCTGTTAATTTAGACACAGGTACTTTGTTTTCAAGTGCCATTAGTTGTTAGTAGGCATCATCAGATAACTTTGTATGACTGACTCAGTCCTGTGAGCCCAAGAAGAAATAAGGAAGAAGCTGAACAATTTTGTGAGTGTGTTTAAGTGGTACGGGAAGAACTTCTTGGTCATTGGAACAGTTTTCACTGTAGCACTGACTGTTACAGTATCAATATCTGGTTCAATATCTGGGAAGTGAAGTAGGAGAGGGTCTTAAAACACCCAGTGAAGTAGGAGAGGGTCTTAAAACACATCTCTCCCCTGTACAGCTCTTTAATTCTGGATTTGGAATAGCTCAATATCCAAATGAGCAGAAGGTGCTGGCACTGGAGCTGTGGTTGGGTCCCACTGATCATCCGTGTAGTTTTACATTAATAATTTCTGTTTAGTTTGCTTTTATGCAGCCATGCTGAGGATCCATGACAGTGCCTACAGCTTCTGATAGCTCAGAGGTTGACTTGCCTAAGGCCAGAGTTACCTTTCTCTTTTGTAAAGAAAGACAAACCAAGCAAAAGCCAATTCATTTGCTCTTTCCTGTTACTCTTTGGAATTACAGGCTGACATGATATTTCAAAGAATCCACCCATAATTATCTGGAAAAATAAGAATTGTAATCTCCTATTTGTCATCTTGTAATATTTACCTTTGGGGGGGGTGTGGGGTGTGTGGAGG